GGCTTTTAAGATTACAAGGGGAAATTTTTAACTGTTTTGGAAAGATTACTTTTAATTTAAAGATGTAGAAAAATTATTGGAGAAAAATGGACTCAATCTGAATCGGTATTTTACTGAACTTCCTCTGTTCCCTTGAAATACACCATATATACATTACAATGATGTCTTTGAAATCTGTGTTTAGTTAACCTATAAAAAGCCTCTTTGAACGGCGTCTAAGGTATTTATGGCATGGACTCTATAAAGTGGCCTGCTAGCCAGCTGGACAGCTCACTGAAAATAAAATGTCGGTGTAATCAACAAAAGCAAACCACAGGGATGTAACAGTGTAAGAAATGTATTAGAATGGCATTTTTTCCGTACTGGATGTGGCAAATACAGAATGATCATTAAGGGCCAGGCTAATATTGTATTATTGTTGATTGACAGGCATTGTCACTGGGTTGTGCTATTTGCATTATTTTTTAGTACTTTTAATGGAGACAGTGTGAAATTAAGCAACTGCTGTTTGTTATTAGCTTGAGGACTTTAAAAAAGAGAGAAAAATAATTAACATTTATTGACAGCCTGTTAAATCAGGAACCACGTATGAAGTTGGCCCACTGCCTTGCTCGACCCTTATGTATCACCAATGAAATCAATGGTATTGTTGCAATTCCACCGGAAAGGTATGGCCACTCAGAGAATTTAACTCCCACAGGGTCACACAGCATGTAATTAACAAAGCTGCTCTTCTGCTCTTTGAACCAAGCCTATGTTGGATAAAATGCACAATTATATGGCAATAGGTGGAACTGCATAGAGCAATCAAAATGGAATAAAATCTACTTTATATTTATATGTTGGCATTAATCCTAGCAGCCCAATTTAATGTATCTTGAGGTGAAATCTCTTGATGACTTAGAATATAGCTCCTTTATAAAAATTTGCACGTGTGAGGGCTAGATGCGGATTAAATTTCTGCTCTTAGATTTTTAGAATGTATTGTCACTGTATAGATTTTAGACACTAAATACATGGAATCTCTACACAAATCTTGTTTCATCTCTGGTGAAACTTATAAACCTTCTGTTACCTTTTGTCCTTTTATTGTGGCAAGCTTTATGGGGTGTTGAAATTACTGGCCTCTGAATAAAAGCATCATTAAATTAGTGCAGCTAAGAATCAGTTTGGTGTTAGAGTTAGTTTTCATTCTGTTATTTTCATTGTCCCAGAATCGAGTTAGAGTAGAATTCATCTTTAAGGGTTTATTAAGAAGTGTTCATTCATTCTTTTGTGAGTGCTTAGTGAGGTCTGTTGCTGGGAACTCAGAGATAGATGAATCTGGACAGGTACCCATGGTGTACTTACCTTAATTCTTTTTTTTTAAATATTTTAAAGTTTATTTATTTATTTGGGGGGGGAGAGAGAGAGAGAGAGAGAGAGAGAGAGAGAGAGAGAGCACAAGCTGAGGAGGGGCAGAGAGAAGGAGACAGAATCCCAAGAAGGCTTTGTATTATCAGCACAGAGCCTGAGGCTCTAATTCATCAACTGTGACATCATGACCCCAGTTGAGGTCAAGAGTCAGATGCTTAACCAACTGTGCCATTCAGGTGCCCCTACCTTAACTCTTTATTAAAGATTTTTTTAAGGTCTATTTTATTTATTTTGAGAGAGAGAGAGAGAGAGAGAGAGAGAGAGAGAGAGCGAGCACAAGCAGGGGAGGGGCAGAGAGAGAGGGAGAGAAAGAGAATCCCAAGTGAGCTCTGTGCTGACGGCTGACAGTGACTGATGCAGGGCACAAACTCAAACCACAAGATCACGACCTGAGCCAAAACCAAGAGTTGGTCACTTACCGACTGAGGCACCCAGGTACCCCCCCCCATTTTTTTTCCCTGTCTTAAATCTTAATGAAAGATTTCTTTCTCCAAAAATTCATTTCACCAGAAATGCTGGTGATGTTCTCCAGAGTTTTAGGCAGTCCTTTAGAAGAGGATGTTTATTCTAACTTTTTCTTGACCTTTTTATTTGTCAAACCACAATTATGCAGCAGCCCAGTCAGCATTAAACACGTTTTGAACTCTCTAGGAAGCTGAGTTTATCTAATGTCAATTGCAGAGGCTACTCTGTTTTTTTTCCACACATGTCAATGAAAAATTCATGTGGCTTTGCAGAATTGTGTTTTGTAGTGGTTTTTGTTGTTGTTGTTGTTGTTGTTGTTGTTTGGTGTTTTTGTTTTTGTTTTTGCTACATCAGAATAACTTGGAATACTATTAAAATGCAGGTCCCTAGGCCCCCCAGGTCTATTGCCACAGACTCTGGAAGAGGCTTGCTTGTCTGTATACTTTTTCACAAAATATCCTCAGTTGACTCTTAGGAACATAGCTTTTTGAAAGTGAGGTTTTAGTGCAATCGAATCAAGCTGTGCATAGAAAGGTAGCATATGTAAGAAATGCAATAGAATGACATTTTTCCTGAATGTAGTAAATAACAAAATGCAAACCACAAGTCTGAGCTTCTTTTAAAAGGTTTGACCTCTACTGACACGGAATATATGTAAAGCCCATACGATTTCTCTCCTTCATTATTTCAATCTGTGCTGTGTTTAGAGGTAGAAGGGGCTGGGTGGTTTGTGTTAAGGGAGGCGCTCAAAATGAAGAGTTTATGAAGATTAGTGTTAGTATTGGCAAGGCCTGATTCAAGGCCCAGGGCTCCCTCTGTGCTTTTTATGGAGCTATAGAAACTGATCTGAGTGAATTGACAATAACTAAATCCTCAGGGTGAAGATAACTCTGCTTATTTTCACTTGTAAAGATCCAATATTAGTAAGAAATATGACTTGGAGATACTGAGAACCAGAATTTCCCCTCGAGCCAAGCTGTTCTTTGTCCTGAAAAAGCGGGTTTTCTCTAGAACACCTCACCTGGAGAGCCCTGAAATCAATTAAGTGTTTGTTATCCATGAACTGATTTATGTTGGCCAGTCATTCTCTGTGGTCAGTCTTGTGACTCAGTGTGTTTTGGGGTTGTTTTTTTTTTGTTTGTTTGTTTTGTTTTGTTTGTAAAAGTTATTTTTTGTGCAAATGCTTTCAAGCTGATAATATACTTGTGATCTCAATCAAGCATGATTTCATACAGAATAAGTCACAGATCTATAAATGTTCCTTTGTGAACATATCAATGTGCATAACGAAGAGATATTATAAAAATGACCTTCATGTCAATATTTTGTTTTTCTTTTGTTGGATATACAGTTAAAAATGTGGGGGTGCAGATGGCAATAGCACCTCCTGACCTTTACCTAGCTCACAGAGTGCCATGCAGTACCAAGGGCATGACGTATGTGTTATCTTCTCTGGTCTTCATAATAAACCTGTGGTGTAGGTTATATAGCAATTTTGAAATGGATGAAAAGCCTGAGACTTAAAGAAAGTTTTTTGTGCAATTCATACTGCTGATGTGTGAGAGACCTCGGCCTCTACCCCAAGTCTTGAGAACTGTATGTTCCTTGTATCAACTACTGTCCTCTACTGCCTTCTGGTTTAAAAAGTATTATTAGTGATGCTTTATTGCGTAAAGCTTGTTAAAACATGAAGCAGTATCCTATGACATTAGCCCTGTGCAGAAACTTACGCCTAAAAACCTGGATCAAAACAAGCCAGAAATAGGTCATTCAAATTAGGGTTGTAACAGATTTTTATCACAAACATAAGCATGCTGAGTCAGTGTACAGTTGAAGATCAAATTATGGTAAATGGATTTTTCTTAGAAAAATCAAAGAAGGCTCAGCAAGGTGGTTGACGGCTGCAGTTAAATAATGCTTTGACACTCGCAAACAGTTCCAATTAGATTTATTGGTGAAAGAAGTTGTCAAGGTAATAATTGATGAGACCTGTTACTATAAAGACTTGACAACATATTGAAATAATATGGAAAGAGTGAAATGAGGATAGTATTGAAATAATATGAAACAAATCCCTCACAGTATTGCATATTATAGACTTTAATATATATTTTCCTTTTTAGAAATTTTTTGTAATGTCTTTATTTTTGAGAGTGAGACAGGCGACAGGGTGGGAGCAGCAGAGGGGCAGAAAGGGAGGGAGACACAGAATCTGAAGAGGTTCCAGGCTCTGAGCTGTCAGCGGAGAGCCCGATGTGGGGCTCAAACCCATGAACCATGAGACCATGACCTGAGTCAAAGTCAGATGCTTAACCAACTGAGCCAACCAGGCGCCCCAATTTAATACGTATTTCCAATGAGAAGAATCATCCCCAAAGGAAGGGTTTTTTCACATTTCTTACTTTATAGCAAGAGGGTAAATTTGGAGGGTAAATATGTCTATTTCTTACTGTTGTTTAGTTCTTGGGCAGTGGAGACAAGACTTTGAAAGGTTAAACAGGCTATATTTTCACCAGTGTTTCATTGTACTTAGCCATCTGTATATACAGTGAGATTATGTGGGAATTTTTTTCTTTTCACCTGTAAGTTTCTTAATATATGGGCTTGTAAAGCTTAGTAGTAATTTAATTTGGTTATGAGATACTTGTAAAGGTATTTCACTGAAAAGTCAGTGTGCCTTGAATCCTCCCAGTTCATTTCTTTGGAACTCAATACGAGTAAAAAATAGATGTTCAAACTTCATGATTCTTTGTGGGTTCGTTAAAGTTAACCAGAAGATTTGCAAAGAGCTAATATTCTTTATTTGATAGTCTTTATTTTAATATTACCCTGGCAGTTTGTAGATTTTTAAACTCCAATCTAGAAATATCAGGGCTAATATTAAAATAATTTCCTGTAAGTTTCAAAACTTTTTCAAGTGTCCTAACACCTCAATTTGATAATACATTTGGGTGAATTCATTACTTATTCCAGATGTGCTATAAATTGATATGGACAGTGCAGTGTGTTAGAAACCCATGGCAGATCCAAGTGGTAGGTTTGCATAATTTTTATTTTTTAAGATGTGTCATTGTAATCTTTTTTTTTTTAAGATGGTATTTTCCGCTTTTGTTTTTTAGGGTCGTTGCTCCAGGGAGAACTGCAAATATCTTCATCCACCCCCACACTTAAAAACGCAATTGGAGATAAATGGGCGCAATAACTTGATTCAGCAGAAGAACATGGCCATGTTGGCCCAGCAAATGCAACTAGCCAATGCCATGATGCCTGGTGCCCCATTACAACCTGTGGTAAGCATGTTTTCAGTTCTCATTCGTTAAGTTTGTAATTCCAAGTGTTCAATTTCAGTATGAAGTAATGACTGCACTTCATCAAGTGAACGTAGGTAACAGTGTCAGTTCTCCAGCATTTTCTAGCAAAATTATCAAGCAAACCCGGAACCAGTTTTCACACTGTGAAGTTACTCATCTTGTGGCCAAGTCATGTGGAAATTTACATTAGAGCATGCTTTCCCCCTAAAACTCTCTTTACATTAAATCTTATGATTGGCAGGTATTAAAATGGTCATCAGACTCACCAGTATAGTCTGTGCATTTGCAGACTATAATGGCAATAATAATTTTAAAATTTGGTATAGATCATCTTTAATTTTGAGAAAAATCTTCCTTTCCTTCCTTCCTTGAAGAGTATCTGTTGCATAGCTGTGATTCTTTTAAACTCAGATTGCAATTATTTTGTAGTTACAAATGCTAGGAGAATTCTGATAGTGGTAAATCAATATCATGCACTTGCAAGTCTCATTAAAAGAGAACTAATCGGGAGAGAAAGAAACTCCCAGGGCTTTTAAGCAAAGAGCTAAATATTCTAAACTGTAGGTGATCATAGAGATTTAATGTTTACTGAGCTGGATATGTGAATAACTTTTGATTCTGAGCACATATTTATTTACTTGGGGTTCGGGGGAGTATATATATGAAAAATGACTTTAATAACCTTTACCCACATTTACTCATAAAAATGTAAGGTTAATATCCTAAGTAATTTTAGATTGCAAAAGGAGTCCTGATATTAATTGTGATCTAGTAATTCTGTATTTAAATGCATGTTAAAATCTGAAATGATGAGAATATATCTTTCAGTAATTTATGTCACTAACTTATATGCAATATTAGAGGGTTATGGAAATGTGAAGACCCATGGGTTTCTGATATGCTAATTGTAAGCATGTGTGCTAACTAATTTTTTTCCAAATACATTTTAACACCTGAACTCAATGTAATTATTATTCTCTCTTAGAACTTAATGCACCAATCATTCCAAAAAAGAGGGGGGGATTGCATTTCGAGGTGGGAGGGATCTCCATATCACATCGGCAGTGATACCAATTATCAGTACTATGCAGTTGAGGTGAGAGAATATTATAATTCTGTGTCTGTTTTAACCTGATTTTTTTTTCCATTATTGGGAACTCAGTTAAAAATATGATATCTTAAATTTATTTTTGTGATATCTGCTAATACTATATCTGTACTGGGATAGCATGAAGATTTGGTTAAAGAAGTTTAGTTATGATCATTCTTGGTAGCATAAAATATAGGATAAGAGCTCTCTTTTGCAACTGGCTCTCTCGCACAGTTTCAAAGATCTGATAAATCCTTGGGGTGGCTACTACTTTAGCTGATAGAAGATCTCTCATTGATGTGAGACACTTTGTTCCACTTAAACATTTAAAGCCTGCTTAGTGCCAGTCTCTATCCTCTCTGTGACCGGGAGCACCTCGAGGTCAACAAGTGTAATTCCCACGCTGTGGAAACCAGTGCTGGTCATGGCAGTGAGCAGCTCACTGTGAAGCCTTGGCCCATCTCCTGAGTTAGTCCTTGAGCTCTGCCCTCAAGGCCATTCCAGGGGCATCACGTGGGTAATCCTGGGACGAACCGTAAACAATGTTTATGCTCATGTCTGTGAAATACAGTAACAAACGTGGTGTTTATGAAATCACGAAATCACAGTTTCTGAAACCATCAGAAAAATCACATTTTCTGGTGGTTTTGGTGGAAAGTTCTCTACTTCAACAAAACATTTATTTATATTAGTTGTGAGCACATTTAGGCTTTGTGTTAGTTTTCTCTGATATGACTAGATTTGAATGTGGAATTACCCTTCTGCTATAGGCATCCTGAGATCACAGTCTAAAATAGACTCTGTTCAGGGTGACTTTTTTGGTAATAAATATAGAAGTCGTTTTAATTATTCAATTTTAAAGTATTTGGGGCTTTAATGACTGTGGAGAAGGCTTTAATCCAGGACATTTGCCTTCAAAACCCCACCTGAGACTTTGCGATTCTTTGTGTAGTCAGCCCTGTTTTGATGAGGGTCATGATACAGAGATTCGGAAATAAATGCGATGGTCATAACCAGCTGCTTACTGGAACTTTAATGCTGGGTCTACAAATAGGGATTATAACAGGGTTGGAAGCAGCCAGGATGGCTACTAGGACAGATGTTAGTGTTTGAAGACAGAGCACAAATGTGGATCCAACCCAGGTAGTGGTTCTGTCAAAGATGATAACTGTGAGCACATCCTTAATAGCAGGAAGAGTAGGAATGTCTGAGTAGTCTCATGATTTGTAGTCAAGTAGGTGAAGCATCTTAGTTTTCTAGGGCTAACCAGTTTGGCCCCCAAACCATAGCCTGAAGGACCACGAAGAGAAGGAGCTGGGAAGCTCTAATCAAATCCAGAAGCATCTCCTATCGTGCCTGGCATATAACAGAGATCAAAAATTTCTTGATGAGTGAAAGAATGAAGTAAGGAGTTTCCTTCCCCAAATACAAGGAAGAGAGCGGAGGTGTGTGTTAGTGTACCTGCCCCTGTGATTCCAAAGGAATCATGAGCAGGAGCCAGAGTACAAGCCCAATTATAGAGACCGTGGCATGGAATGGGGCATATGGTCGGATATGTATTAGCAGAGGCAGCCAGGGGCTTGGTGAGAGTACCACTGAGACCAGGCAATAGCTACTATGTCCCTCAATTGGGTTTTCCTCTTTTCATAAATTTTCAGAGACCAGGTCTCTCAATTTAAGATCTTCAGAATATGACCTTGGGCTGACTTGGGGAATTCAGGGATTTACAGGAGAGTTTCCTGTTTTTGTGGACTTGATGATGTTGCTATGAACTGTGCCAAGCCAAGAACCAGAAAGAGGGCCTAACATTTTGGGAGCAAAGACAACACTCTAAGGGCATTTACTGCACTCGCTACTTTGTGTATCAAAAATCCTCACAACCGTCCTATGAAGTAGATATTATTATCTCAACTTCAGCAATAAAGATACAGAGGTTCCGAAAGGTTAAATAATTTGCAAAAGGTACGTGGCTTGTGTGTAGCAGGACAAGGATTTTATGCCAAGCTGTTCAGGTTCTGGCACCAATGCTGTAGAAACACTAGTGGGAGACATCCACCAACCATAGCTCTGAGTCCGTGGTCGGTTCATTGGAAATCTCTGGCCTTCTTCAACATACAGCGAACGTTTAAAATATATCTTCTGCAAGTTCCTAACAATCTTCTAACACAATTGTTCCCATTTTGTAAGATGAGAAAATAAGTAGTTGAAAATGACAAATGGAATTTATCTCTGTCTCCTCCCTAAAATTTGCATAGTAAATGATTAAATAACTGCCATTAATTCTATTATGGTTTCTAAGCCCCTAATAAAAATGTCAAAAGATCGGGGCGCCTGGGTGGCGCAGTCGGTTAAGCGTCCGACTTCAGCCAGGTCACGACCTCGCGGTCCGGGAGTTCGAGCCCCGCGTCAGGCTCTGGGGCTGATGGCTCGGAGCCTGGAGCCTGTTTCCGATTCTGTGTCTCCCTCTCTCTCTGCCCCTCGCCCGTTCATGCTCTGTCTCTCTCTGTCCCAAAAATAAATAAACGTTGAAAAAAAAATTAAAAAAAAATGTCAAAAGATCATATTTCTCCTTATTATATTGATATTTGAAGATAAATGGAAGACCTGTAGGACTTGATTACCCAAATTTTAAAAATTAAGTATTTGTATTTTTTTCTAACTACTACTTTAAAAAATGATGGCATTGCCATGCACTGTCTGATGTAAAGATAATCCAACAAGAAAACCAAACAACCTAACCAAATATAGACCGTATCGCTCACAACTCGGAAGCATCTGGTATATTCCTTTGGTCCATCCCAGAAAGGTGTCTTCAGAAATTCTGTTGATTCCAGCTGTCATTGCCCTTGAAGAACTCTGCATAAGTAGTGGTTATGGAGAGCTGTATCTGAGCTCTGGAGTCCCACCAGCAGTGACCTCATCTGCTTTTCTCTGTGCTCTCCAGGGATAACGTTGGCCATCCATAATTTCCAATGGCAGCTTCCCTTCAGGTACACACACCTAGCCGCCTTGAGGTACATAACTCAAGTTGAATTACTGTGCATTTCATGAATTTGAAGTAGCCTAGGGATAAAGAAATTCAGAGTTACTGCACTTAGCCAAAATCTTGGAAGCTTCCTTGCAGTTCCCGTCGCCTCACCTTTGCTGTCACGGTGTTTCTTTGTCACAGCAGCTGGCAGTTGAGTGCTGAAAGCTTTGAAGTCATCATTTGTTACATGTCCAGGAACACCTAGAGTTCTTAAATTGGCTCTTAGTGCTTTACCTTCCAGTGTATTCAGCTAGTGATTGAGATAAGGCCACTTCATGACCAAGTGTTTCTGGTAAAATGTTTTCCACGGCCGTCATCCTGAGTCGTGCTCCCTCCACCTGCACTTCCAGTGCCTGTTTTGGTCAAGGAGTCTGTGCTTCCTGGAGCACCTTGACATTGGCCCAAATCTTAGGGACCAGGCCGTATGTGGTGATACCTTTTTACTTGATGGGCCAGACGTCAGTCTTCTTTATTTAAGTGTTATTACTTCATTAAAACTGATTGAAGGGTAAGGTAAAATTAAAGCTAGGTGGTCATTGTGATTTTCCCAGTCAGCGAGTCCATCCAGAAGCGGACTTTAAATGGTATTTCTTATTTTAATTCCAGTCATATGTTGCCTTCTTATTAAAAAAAAAAAAAAAAAAAAGACATGGCAATGTGAATTTGTTGAGAATTTCCATTAGCTTTTGGCCATTTATATGCAAAACAATTGTTTACAGAGACTTCTGTAGCTCCTGTATAGGATTGTGTCTACCCAGAAACATGGTTTCATACACCTTGATTGTGTGCTGTCGAGTAAAAATAAAGGTTTATTCTTTTACTGCTTGCAGGATCAACCTTTACAAAGACACATACACACAC